CTACAACCATGACTACTATACTCAGCAAAGATCACATTCAAAATTGATGGAGAAATCAAAAGCTTTATAGGCAAGCAAAAGTTCAAAGAATTTAGCACCACCAAACCAGTCTTACAACAAATACTAAAAGGATTCTCATAGCCAGTAAACACAAGAGAAAGGAAAGACCTACAAAAACAAACCTAAAATGATCAAGAAAATGCCAATAGGAAAATATATATCAATAATTACCTTAAATGTAAATGAACTAAATACACCAACCAAAATATACAGACTGATTGAACGGATACAAAAACAAGACCCATATATATGCTGCCTACAAGATATGTACTTCAGACCTAGAGACACATACAGACTGAAAAGAAAAGGATGGAAAAAGATATTCCATGCAAATGGAGACCAAAAGAAAGCTGAGTGGCAATCCGTATTTCAGACAAAATAGACTTTAAAATAAAGAATATTATAAGAGACAAAGAAGGACAATACATAATGATTGATCAAGGGATCAACCCAAGAAGACATAACAATTGTAAATATTTATGCACCCAACAATGGAACACCTCAATACATAAGGTAAACACTAACAGGCATAAGAAGGGAAATTGATAGCACCACAATAATAGTAGGTGACTTTAACACCCCACTGACACCAATGGACAGATCATCAAAAGTGAGGATCAATAAGGAAACACAAACATTAAATGAAACATTAGATCAAATGGACCTAATTGATATCTTCAGGACTTTTCATCCAAATGCAGAAAAATACACTTTCTTCTTGATTGCACATGGAGCATTCTCCCAGATAGACCACATCCTGGGCCACAAATCAAGCCTCAGTAAATTTAAGAAAACTGAAGTCATATCAAGTATCTTCTCTGACCACAACACTATGAGATTAGATATCAACTATAGGGGAAAAAAACACACACTCATGGAAATTAAACAATACGTTGCTAAATAATGAGACATTACTGAAGAAATAAGAACAGAAATCAAAAGATTCCTAGAAACAAAGGACAATGAAAACACAACAACCCAAAACCTATGGGATTCCGCAAAAGCAGTTCTAAGAGTGAAGTTTATAGCAATATAATCCTACCTCAAGAAACAAGAAAAGCATTGAATAGACAACCTAACTCTACATCTGAAGCAGCTAGGGAAAAAAAGAACAATAACAACAACAACAACAAAAAAAAAAACCCCAAAGTCAGCAGAAGGAAACAAATCATAAAGATCAGAGCAGAAAGAAATGAAGGAAATAATAGTAAAGATTAATAAAACTAAAAGATGGTTCTTTGACAAGATAAACAAAATTGACAAAACACTAGCCATTCTCATCTAGAAAAAAGGGAGAAAATCAAATCAACAAAATTAGAAATGAAAAAGGAGAGGTTACAACAGACAACACAGAAATACAAAGGATCATAAAAGAATAATGTGAGCAACTATATGCTAATAAAATGGATAACCTAGAAGAAATGGACAGATCCTTAGGAAAGTTCAACCTCCCGAGACTAAACCAGGAAGAAATAGAAATTATGAACAAGGCAATTACAAACATTGAAATTGAAACTGTGATCAAAATTTGCCCAAAAAACAAAAGCCCAGGGCCAGATGGTTTCACAGGGGAATTCTATCAAACATTTAGAGAAGAGTTAATGCCTATTTTTCTGAAACTCTTTCAAAAAATTGCAGAGGAAGAAGTACTTCCAAACTCATTCTACAAGGCTACAATCACCCTGATACCAAAACCAAACAAAGACAGTACAAAAAAAGAAAATTACAGGTGATGATTATCACTGATGACATAGATACAAAAATCCTCAACAAAATTCTAGCAAACAGAATTCAACAGCACATTAAAAAGCTCACACACCATGATCAAGTCGGGTTTATACCAGGGACACAAGAATTCTTCAATATACACAAATCAACCAATGTGATACACCATACTAGCAAATTAATACAGTGTAATATGTGATATACCACATTAACAAAGATAAAAACCATATGCTCATCTCAATAGATGCAGAAGAAGCCTTTGACAAAATTCAGCATCCATTTATGATAAAAATGCTTCAAAAAATGGGCATAGAAGAAACCTACCTCAACATAGTAAAGACCATATATGATAAGCCCACAGCAAACATTATTCTCAATAGTGAAAAACTAAAAGCATTCTCTCTAAGATCGGGAACAAGACAAGGGCATCCACTCCCACTGTTATTATTCAAAATCATTTTGGAAGTCCTAGCTATGGCAATTAGAGAAGAAAAAGAGATAAAAGGAATCCAGATCAGAAAAGAAGTAAAACTCTCACTGTTAGCAGATAACTTGATACTATACATAGAAAACCCAAAGGAAACTATCAGAAAATTACTAGAGATAATCAGTGAATTCAGCAAAGCAGTGGGATACAAAGTCAATATACAGAAATCACTTAAATCAGAAAAAGAAATTAAGGAATCAATCTCATTCACCACTGCAACAAAAAGAATAAAATATCTAGGAATAAATCTACCTGAGGAGAGAAAAGAACTGTATACAGAAAATTACAAGAAATCAAAGATGACATAAACAGATGGAGAGATATTCCATGCTCCTGGATAGGAAGAATCAATATTGTAAAAATAACTATACTACCAAATACAACCTACAGATACAATGTGATCCCTACCAAATTACCAATGGCATTTTCACAGAACCAGAACAAAAAATTTCACAATTAATATGGAAACACAAAAGACCCTCAATAGGTACCATTACACACCAGTCAGGATGGCTGCTATCCAAAAGTCTACAAGTAATAAATGCTGGAGAGGGTGTGGAGAAAAGGGAACCCTCTTACACTGTTGGTGGGAATGCAAACTAGTACAGCCACTATGGAAAACAGTGTTGAGATTTCTTAAAAAACTGGAAATAGAACTGCCATATGACCCAGCAATCCCACTTCTGGGCATATACACCGAGGAAACCAGATCTGAAAGAGACACGTGCACCCCAATGTTCACTGCAGCACTGTTTATAATAGCCAGGACATGGAAGCAACCTAGATGCCCATCAGCAGACCAATGGATAAGGAAGCTGGGGTACATATACACCATGGAATATTACTCAGCCATTAAAAAGAATTCATTTGAATCAGTTCTAATGAGATGGATGAAACTGAAGCCCATTATACAGTGAAGTAAGCCAGAAAGATAAATACCATTACAGTATACTAACACATATATATGGAATTTAGAAAGATGATAATGGTAACCCTATATGCAAAACAGAAAAAGAGACAGATGTACAGAACAGACTTTTGGACTCTGTGGGAGAAGGCGAGGGTGGGATGTTTCAAGAGAACAGCATTGAAACATGTATATTATCTAGGGTGAAACAGATCACCAGCCCAGGTTGGATGCATGAGACAAGAGCTCGGGCCTGGTGCACTGGGAAGACCCAGAGGGATCGGGTAAAGAGGGAGGTGGGAGGGGCGATCGGGATGGGGAATACATGTAAATCCATGGCTGATTCATGTCAATGTATGACAAAAACCACTGCAATGATGTAAAGTAATTAGCCTCCCACTAATAAAAATAAATGGGAAAAAAAAAAAAGACCCTCAATAGCCAAAGCAGTCTTGAGAAAGAATGCAGCTAGAGGAATCAATCTTCCTGACTTCAGACTATACTACAAGGCTATAGTCATCAAAACAGTATGCTGCTGCTAAGTTGCTTCAGTCGTGTCTGACTCTGTGTGACCCCATAGACAACAGCCCACCAGGCTCCCCCGTCCCTGGGATTCTCCGGACAAGAACACTGGAGTGGGTTGCCATTTCCTTCTCCACAAGACAATATGGTACTGGCACAAAAACAGAAATATAGACCAATGGAACAAGAAAGCCCAGAGATAAACCCATGTACCTACGGGTACCTTATTTTTTGACAAAGGAGACAAAATATACAATGGGGAAAAGATATCTTCTTCAATAAGCGGTGCTGGAAAAACTGGATAGCTGCATACAAAAGAATGAAATTAGAACACTTTCTAATGCCATACACAAAGATAAATTCAAAGCGAATTAAAGACCTAAATATAAGACCAGAAATTATAAATCTCTTAGAGGAAAACATAGGCAGAACACTCAGTGACATAAATCAAAGCAAGATCTTCTATGACCCACCTCCAGAGTAATGGAAATAAAAACAAAAATAAGTTAAGTGTGACCTAATTAAACTCAAAAGCTTTTGCACAGCAAAGGAAACTACAAACAAGGTGAAAAGACAACTCTCAGAATGGAAGATAATAATAACAGAGGAAACAACTGACAAAGAATTAATTTCCAAAATATACAAGCAGCTCACACAACTCAACATCAGAAAAACAAACAATCCAATCAAAGAGTGAGAAACAAACCTAAACAGACATTTCTCCAAAGAAGGCATACAGATGGCTAACAAAGACATGAAAAGATGCTCAACATCACTCATTATCAGAGAAATACAAATCAAAACTACAATGAGATACCACCTTACACCAGTCAGAATGGCCATCATCAAAAAGTCTACAAACAATAAATGCTGGAGAGGGTGTGGAGAAAAGGGAACCTTCTTGCATTTCTGGTGGGAATGTAAATTGATGCAGCCGCTATGGAAAACGGTATGGTGGTGGTTTAATCACTAAGTTGTCTCCAACTCTTGTGACCCCATGGACAGTGGAGCCTGATAGGCTACAGTCCATGTGATTTTCCAGACAAGAATACTGGAGTGGGTTGCCATTTCCTTCTCCAGTGAATCTTTCCAACCCAGGAATTGAACCCAGGTCTCCTGCATTGTAGGCGGATTCTTTACCAACTGAGCTACAAGGGAAGCTTTGCATGTAATAATAGGCAAATTGGCAACTATGATTCAGGGTCTGCAGAGGTGAAAAACCCCCAAACACGTGTCTCCCTGCAAAGGTCAGGGTCCCCGGAGCTCGCCTATACCCAGATCCTGACTAGACAAACTCACTCTGGGGCAGATTTCTCCTTCAGCACCACGAGGATCTGGCTCGCAGGCATAACTTTGGAGGAGCTCTCTCTAACGCTGGTGTCAACTGCATCCCTCTCATCCCCGAGGTCAGCTCTGGATTCTTGCTGCTTGGACACGATGCTGCCTTCCTTCTTCAAAGCCTGGAGGTAAAGTTCCAGGAGCTGCCTGGACTGACAGGCTTCCTCCCTCTGGTCAAGCCCCTGCTGGAGGGTGCTCTGGAACCCCTGGACTGCCACATGACTTTGGCCGAGTTTCTGAGCCAGCTCTGAACACAGGACATCAATGAGCATCTGGAGCACCTCCTCGGACAGCAGGATGATGCTGGATAGGTCTTCCCTCCGCTGCCTGGCCACGTTATTCCACTTCAACCCTGCCCCTATCTGTTCCATCTCTGTCGAAGGACTCTTGGGTAATCCAAGCTGTCCCTGCATCTGAATTGTGTACCCACTTCTCATTCCCAGCCAAGCCACAAACAGTATTGGCAGGAAGACACAGGAAGTAATCATCATCACCCACCGTGGTGCCATCCTTTGCCAGGACCAGAGTGACAGGTGCCAGGGACTTATCAATGGCCAGAATGTCACAAGCCTTGTTCCTCAGCTCCTTGAGGCAAGAGGCCACCATGCCATGCTTTTCCCAGCTGGTGCTGTGGCTCAGCAGACACTGCTTTAGAGCCCAGATCTCTCTGGTTTCCGGAGCTGCAGGACCGCTGGCCACCTCCATCCTCTTCATGGGGGGACCAGACATACGTGGAGAAGTCAGGGAGGCTGGGGCGTGGGAGTCCTCCCCAACTCCATCCCCCATGGCATGCCGGGAAATGGAGATTCTTTAAAAACTAGGAATAAAATCACCATATGACCCAGAAACCTCACTACTGGGATATACCCTGAGGAAACCAAAACCAAAAAAGAGTTTTTTGGGGAAAACATGTATCCCACTGTTCACTGCAGCACTGTTTACAACAGCTAGGACATGGAAGCAACCTAGATGTCCATCCACAGATGGAGGGGTAAAGAAGCTGTGGTGCATATATACAGTGGAATATTACTCAGCCATCAAAAGGAATGCATTTGAGTCAGTTCTCATGAGGTGGATGAACATAGAGCCTGTTATACAGAGTGAAGCAAGTCAGAAACAGAAATATAAGTATCATATACTGACACATATATGGAATCTAGAAAGATGGTACTGATGAATTTATTCTCAGGGCAGCAATGGAGAAATAGACATAGAGAACAGACCTAAGGACGTGGGGGAAGGGGAGAAGGGAGAGAGTGGGATGTATGGAGAGAATAGCATGGAAATTTATAATACCATATGTAAAATAGATAGCCCGTTTACTGCATGATTCAGGGAACTCAACCAGGGTCTCTGTGACACTCTAGTAGGGTGGGATGGGAAGGAGATGGAAGGGAGTTTCAGGAGGGAGGGGACACGGCTGATTCTTATTGATGTATGACAGAAAACCACAAAATTTTGTAAATCAAATATCCTTCAATTAAAAAAATAAAGTGGCAAAAAAAAATTTTTTTTAAAAGAGTGAGCAGGTGACTTAATTTTCACTGTATACCATTTTGTACCTTTTGGCTTTTGCACCATTTAATTGAACCTACTTTTCTTTTTTTTTTTTTTAAGTTTTTATACAATTTTAAAGGTTATTTTGCATTTACAGTTATTACAAAATATTGACTGTATTCCCCATGTTGTATAATACACCCTCGAGCCTATCTTACACCCACTAGTTCTTACTCCCCACTGCCCTACCCCTACGGTGGTAACCAGCAGTTTGTTCTCTATATCTGAGTCTGCTGCTTTTTTGTCATATTCATTAGTTTGTTGTATTTTCTAGATACCACATATAAATGATATCATACAGTATTTGTCTTTCTCTCTCTGATTTATTTCACTTAGTATAATACCCTCCAAGTTCATGCATGTTGCTGCAAACGGCAACATCTTATTTTTTATGGCTGGTTAGTATTCAAATGAACCTAGTTTTTAAATAATACATTAATTTTGTTTTGATTTTAAATGCCAAAAGCAATGACTAGAGGGATTCTGAAGCTAGTACTTAATATCCTTCAAATTAAAAGGAGCCCAGAGCAGGAGTCCAAATTAAGATTCTGGCCCAAATGATTCAAATTTGAATTCTCTTAAGTTCAGTTTCATCGTCACTGGTCATTTGTTCTGCATCCCAGCTTTACATCGCCTGCTGATCTGGAGATCTGAGTTTATGTTGTTCTACTTACTGCAATCTGTAGGTGAACTGAGAGAGATTCAATGATTCCCAGAGCTCCTTTGATCAACAGAGGCCCTCCTATAAAATGTGCCTGGAAAGGAAGGGAGGGAGGAAGAGAGTATGCCTCAGAGACCACAGTGGGGCCCTCAAAGCGGGGAGCAGTTACTGTCTGAACCTTTATGAACAAGTTGCCAACCCCTGGTTTTAGAACCACCGAAAGGGTAAATAACAACTTAGAGGTCCAGGCCCTGAAAGAAATCAGGTAACAAATTGAGAGGGTCATCGGTGAGCTGAAGTGAAGTGAAGTGCAAGTCGCTCAGCTGCTTCTGACTCTTTGTGACCCCATGGACTCCATGGAATTCTCCAGGCCAGAATAATGGAGTGGGTAGCCTTTCCCTTCTCTAGAGGATCTTCCCAACCCAGGGTTTGAACCCAGGTCTCCCACATTGCAGGCAGATTCTTTACCAGCTGAGCCACAAGGGAAGTCCAAGAATACTGGAGTGGGTAGCCTCTCCCTTCTCCAGCAGGTCTGGAGAGGTCTGCCCGGCCCAGGAATCAAACTTGGGTCTCCTGCATTGCAGGTGGATTCTTTACCAACTGAGCTATCAGGGAAGCTTGCCAGTTTGCTATTTTTACAATAATGCCGCATAACAAACCATCCCAAATCTCCATGGCTGACACAGCAGTAGCGTGGTTTGCCCATCTATGGGTGAGCCAGGCTCAGCTGCGGCCACTCTGCTAGTCTTGGCTGGACTCACTTGTGCATCTGTGGGGTGGGGCATGGGCTGAGCCAACACAGGCAAGGCTAGGCTAGGGCCGTCGCTCCACGCTGCAGGTCTGGATCGGCACTGCTGTCTTTCCCCTTCCTTAGACCAGGGGGCTAGCAGGATATGCTCTTCTCATGACAGTGCCAGAGCCCGAAAGTGAGTGGAAATGTGCAAGCAGCTCTTAGGAGCCTCCACTGGGAACTCACGCGCCGTCATGCACTTCCCTGGCCCTGCCGTGGGTCACAGCCAAGCAGCAGGGCACTAGTCCCCTCCCTTAGAGGGGCTGCCTCGTCCGGTGGGAAGGATGGGAACAGGGAAGGGGAGAACTGGGGCCAGTGATGCAAACCGAGACTCGCTTCACTTCGAACTGAGCCCCAGCATGTGCCAGGCACTCCTCTGTGCCGGGATCTATCAGCACACGAGACTGGCTTTCCCTGCGCCCCAGCCATCCAGGAGCTCAATTCTAGTGGGGTATGGAAGGGATTTCACATTCAACGCTACCTCCTTCTTGTCTGTTTTGTGTTGTTTCACTAGGGATGAGCCCACTGGCACGTTTGTTCCCGGAGGCCAGGAATCATCTCTGCTTGGGCAGCTTTGCCCCCCAGCACCCAGGACTGGGCTTGAAGTGAGGCAAATGCTCACAAATAAATGAGGGAGGAAGGGAAGCATTTTCTCTCTCTCTGTTCTGGGAATCACTGAATCTCTGTCAGTTCATCCACGGATTGCAAGGACTGAAATGACAGAAATTCAGATCTCTAGATTAGCAGATGATGCAAAGCTGGGACGCAGAACAAATGACAAGTGACAGTGTAACTGGATTTAAGAGAATTTGAATCATCTGGGTGAGAGAGCCTGCAGATGGCAGATGCCTGCTCAGTGTAGAAAAATGGGTCATGCCTCCCAGACCAACCACCACGCAGACTCGGAGTCCTGAGAGGAGCAGAGCCTTTGGGTCGTGGGCTGATCGTGGCAGAGCGGGGACTCCCCTGACATGTGGGGGCACAAGCTCGCAGCAGGATGACAAACCAAGCTCAAGAGGGGGTTCTGTGTCAGCGAGGCTCTGGACCTTGGCCTTCCCTCGGTAGACTGAGGGCGAGGCTGGGCAGAGGGCCAGTGCCGCTGCTTCCACCATGCCTGAAAGCAAGACCCAGCCCCTGGCACCCCCGAAGGCTGGGGACAGGAAGCCAGAGGTCCTCATCTCAACCCAGTTCTGCTTTCTGAAAGAGGCTCCCTGACCTTGGTTCCTTTACCTGTGATACAGGCATTAGGATACCCATCCTACTTAACGTTACAGGCTTTTAGTGAAATTGCAAGAGACAGCAAGTGTAAAAATAAACGCAACTCAGGGAAGACAGGTAGTATTTGGTCTTGAGCAAGGCAATGCTACTCCGTGATTGCGGAGGAGATGGAAGGCACGAACCATGCAAGAGATTATTTCCAAAATTCAAAGAGAAGATTCATTGAGGAAAAGAAACCTTGAGGAATGATTTTCCACATTTCGAGGTGTGAATGTTTCAGAGGCCCAACTCCTCTAGGAGGGTAGTAATTGTGGGAAGTAAATTACTGTTGAAATTAATTGAAGCAGAATGAGAATGAGCTCAAAACACACCTAAAAACGAAAGGAAATGGAGAGATTAAGAGAAAAGGTCAAGCCGGGTGGTGAGAAAGGGGGCAAGGAGGCCAAAGGTCAGTGTTGACAAGACAGATGTGTTCTTTTTCTTAAATGGTTGTGATCTCAGACGTGGGTTTGGCACAGGAAGGCAGGCCTCCCGCTCAACAGCTGCCTTCCTTCCTGACCTTTCAGGGGCGGCTGCCTGGCAAGTGTCCCGTGAGCTTCCTCTGATGGTGCTGGGGCTCTTCATGGAACGTGGTCACTGTGATCTCAAGCCTGCCCCTTCCTCTCCTTGACCTGCAGACACTAAGAGGAGGAGCGATGGGGGTCCTAGCAATGTGGAAACGACTTTATACATCCATTGGCCTGAAGGCAATAGCAACAACAACAGAATTTATGTAATACATGAAAGCACAGAATTGGGTAGTAAAACTGCATTAGCCATCCATCTCTCTTTGTAAAGAAAATTCTCACCAACTGCCACCCCCATAACAGAGCATCGCTCTTCACCTGGACACAACTGACCCCCTAAAAAAAGGAAGTGCCTGGATACCTCTGAGAATTATGCAAATGCAGGCAGCATTCACAATCAGGGTGATGCATCAAAGACCCAAAGATGTTTCCAGGCATGAGTTACAACGCCTCTAAAGACAATGGCTCTTATATAGGGTTTTAGATTATGGTGATGTTCTGTAAATCCTGCTCCAGCCACACAATAGGCCAAGAGCAATTAGCATTAATTAAACTATCCCCATAAAGAGGTTGCTGTGCTGACACATTGATATCCCATAAATACACTGAGACTGTGAACATTCTCAAGGGCTTGCCTTCCACATCACCACAGGTGCTGGACCCTCCCGCCCCAGGACTGCTCACACCTGAGTGTAACACCACTCAGCCAGAACCCAGCCCTGGGGCCGACCACTCGGCATGCTAAACCACCTGGGGATCCTACTAAAACGAGATTCTGACTCGGAAAGTCTAGTGTAGGGTTTGAAAGTCTGCAGGTGAATGAAGCTCCCTGGTGGTGCCGAGGCTGATGCACTCCAGACATCACTCAGAGAAGGAACATCTTTGTATAGAAGCCCTCCGCAGTCCGAGGGGG